TCTGCGGCCTGGTAAGGCTGTTCCCCCGTCAGGGGGAGGTGATCAAAGAGCAGGCCAATCAGTTCATGTCAGAGGCAGTCCTTGTTCCCATTACTATGGAACCCACTTGGACACTGAACTGCCATGGGCTACATCTTTGCAGGGGTTCCAAGTTATCTCCATGAATGATCCTTGGTTGGAGTATCAGTCTCAGGAAAGACCCCTGTCCCCAGATATTTTTGGTTCTGTTGCTCTACTGTGGAGCTCCTGTCCTCTCCAGGTCTTACACTCTCCCCCTTCTTTCATAAGATTGTCTGCACTCTGCCCCACGGTTGGCCATAAATCTCAGCATCTGCTTTGAAACCCTGCAGGGTAGAGCCTTTCAGAGGCCCTCTGTGGCAGGCTCCTGTCCTGTTCCCTGTTTTCTCCTTCTTCTGATGTCTATCCTCTTTGCCTTTATGAATGGGGATTGAGCATTTTAGGCAGAGTCCTCCTTCTTGATTAGTTTCTTTAGGTGTACAGATTTTAGTACGTTTATCCTATATTATATGTCTAATATCCACTTATGAGTGAGAATATACCGTTACACTGTTATCCTTAACAGTAGCAAAATTACAGTTATGAAACAACAATGAAAATAATTTTATGTTTGGGGGATCACCACAACACGAGGAGCTGTATCAAAGGGTCGTAGCATTAGGAAGGTGGAGGGCCACTGGCTTAAACTATACTGGGAGGAAGAGAAAGGTGAGGCAGTGAGCAAGCCTTGGGAAGGGGGGGCTGCCCAGCCCTTCTCTGGGGTGTCCCAGCGATGCGGCCACTGGGAATGTCCCAGTCTGTAGAACCATGTGTGACACATCTCTGCCTGTTACGGACTATCAGCCTAAGATATGTTGCTACAGCAGAAGGAAAGGATGAACTGAGGTCCCCCTGAGGAAAAAAAAAAAGTATGGGAAGAAGTGGAGAAAAATAAGTTGGGGGCAGAGGAAGGGTGGTGGGTGATGATGCAGTGGCAGTGATGGTGATAATGGTGACTGCGGGTTAGGATTGGCTGTGATGACAATGTGGTGATGGTGGTGGTGGTGGTGGTGGTGGTGTTCGGATAGGAGTGGGTGTGACATGTGATGAGCTCAATGGGGCATCACCTGCCTCACTCTGGCCAGGCCCTGTGCTCTGCCTGCATCGTCTTATCACCCTCCCCACAACCACACCTCGGAAATGCCCGTCCTTTCTCCTGCACTCGGGACACTGAGCTCAGAATCACGGCCGCCACCCACCAAAGTCACAGCCAGGATCCAAAGCCAAGGTTGTCAGATCCGAGGACCTCAGCAAATGATGAAGGACCGAGCCGCAGAAGCAGAGGCGGAGCTCCTGGTACTGCTACAGCTCTCGCCCAGCATCCTCAAGGCCTGAACTGGGTCCCCCAGTAGCATAAGAAAGATACACACACAGAAGGACAGATGGACGGATGGATGGACAACCAAACAGATAAAGGAATGCTAGGCTGCTAAGCCAGGCGAGGATACAGATCTGCAACTTCAGCACTTGGAAGATGGAGACAAGTTTGAGGACAGCCTGGGCTAAAGGAAAGATACCAACTTACTCCCTGGTTTGAGATTAGACTTCTTATTTACACAGGAAAGCAGGGAGGGAAAGAAAGAAGAGCATCCAGTCCCGAGGTGTTTAGAAGCTTCGAGGAAATAATTAGAATTTTTGAAGGCGGGAGAGTATTGGAAACAGGAAGGAGCCATGGTGGCTGGCTTGATGCTGCCCCCTGGTGGATATCTATGGCAGGCACATCTTGAGGCTCTACCCTCCACTTTCTCCAACATAGATTAATTCAACCTGATCAGGATGCTAGGTACCAAAAGGGGCAGCGGCTGCCCGCCTACAGGAGGGTCCTGCTCCAATGAGGGTGCCCAGATGAGGAAACAGTCACAATGAGGCATGAGTGACAGAGCATCTGTTCATTGCTAATCCCTTCATTCACTCACCCAGGGACAGGAGCCTTGAGGCACAGAATCGCCTCAGCCATGTTGAGAGGAAACCAAGGAGCCCTCTTTGAATTTACTGGGGTAAAATTGACCAGGACCAGAGGTGAGAGAGGAGAGGAGAGGATCCATGGTACAGAGTCCTTGGGAGTCACTGAATGTATGTGGCATTCTAGGGGTCAAGGGTCAGAGCCAGCTCAGTTTGTGTGGTCCAGAAGGAGCTTGGCGGGGGTTGGGGGGGATAGGGAGGGGCCGGCTTTGGGTCTGAGGATGTGAGTGGGAAGGGGTGGGGAAGTCTGGACAGAGGAGCAAACCCGAGATAGGAAACTTCATCTGCAGTGCGGCAGGATTAGTGGCTCATCGAGTTTTTAGGGGCTGCAGAGATGGACTCGGCACACAGTGCTCACTGTGCAATCAGGAGGACTGAAGTTCAGACCCCAGCTCATGTTCAATAAGCCAGGTGTCCCCACATGCCTAGAACCCCAGCCCTGAGGAGGGAGAGGCAGAAGGATGGCCAGGGCTTGCTGGCTTCAGAGAGACCCTGCCTCAAAGAGTTCGGTGGAGAGTGACGGAGCCGTGCACACGGTGCCCTCTTCTGAGCTCTGTGCACCACGCAGGTGTAAGCATCCACGCGCACACAGATGGGCACACGCCATACATTCACATACACACAAATACACAAGTCTGAAAATACACATTTTTAGGGCTTGAAAGGAAAGTGGGAGCACAAGCCCAAGTGGAAGCCAACCCCTCAGTGTCTTCACTAAGTGTGGAGAGATCCACGCTTCAAGGCCTCGCTGTGTTTTCACGGGCCGGGCAAAGGGGAGAGAACAACCAAATTGTTTATTAAACTCTTACTGTGTGCCAGATATTAACTTTCACACCGGGAATGGACGACAGACAGAGGCCGCACAGTCCTGTGGTGGAGGGGCACCCCACGAAAGGCAAAAAATAACAACGTGGTGACATAGCTATCTGCGGGTACCACAGAACGTAGGGCTAGAGGTAAGGAAACCCAGAGTCAGTGGTCGTCACTCCCCAAGAGGGGTGCGTGGCTCCAGGCTTGGCCTCTGTGCCACGATAGCTGGGCACAACAGCAACTCCTAGCCACTGGTGCTCAGAACCCAAGCCCTGACTCTGGCCATCACAAGAAGCAGGAAGTAGCTTGTTGCCATGGGAACTTCGGAAATACCTGAGATGGAGCCAGCAGCATGAACTACATCATCAGAGTTTCTCTCTCTCTCTCTCTCTCTCTCTCTCTCTGTCTCTCTCTTTACAATTAGTTTTGTTCTTTAGTTGGTTTTGTTTTTGTTTTTGTTTTGAGACGGTCTCGCTCTGTATCCCTGGCTACCCTGAACTCACTATGTAGACAAGAATAGCCTCAAACTAGAAATCCACGTGCCTCAATCTCTTAAGCGCTTGGACCAAAGGAGTAAAGTGTAGTTTGGGCTGAGTGTGTGTGCACATGCATGCACGCTTCTCTGAAGGTATAATACATATGTGAGGTACTCTGGAGAGGCCAGAAGAAATCATCGGGTCCCCTGGAGCCGGAGTTACGGGCGGTTGTGAGCCGCCATTGGTGCTGGCCATCAAACCAGGATCCTCTGCAAGAGCAGTGGGTCCTCCTGACCCCTCCGCCATCCCCCGTCCCACAGACCGTTATCTTCTCAGGCCACAGCTCACAACCCCCTGAACGGCGTGTGTGGGTGGCAGGTCATGGCCAGCATTCGGTGTAGGGTACAGAATATGAGGATGTGACGCTGTGGTAGAGCACTGGCCTAGCAGGGTCAAGGCTCTGGGTCCAGTCGCCAGCAGCACACACATACACATGGTGACACTGTACAACGGGGACGAATCGGAAATACCTGCCTCCCCTCCACGCCTGCCAGGCTGGGTTCCCTGTCAGGAAACAAGAATGAGTGCATGCGTATGCATGTGTGTGTGTGTGTGCGCGTGCGCACGCAACTGGCTTGCTCTTAACACGGGTTCTTAAAATGGCGCTCAGGTCCTCGGGCATGCACACTTGAAACCTGTTCTGTCTGGCTCGCCGCCGCCGGCCCATCCGCCCTCCTAGCCGTACCAACAGTCACTCAGTAAATCGTAATTGCAGGTTGCATGTTAACTAGCCACAGTAAGAATTAACAGCCGCCACATTGTGCCAGAGCTGTGGTCCACGGCGCCACCTTGTGGTGAGAACTGAAACGGCAGTGCTGGTGATTGTAACGGTTTGCAGGGAGCCCAGAGAGCAAAGGCGAGCTTCAGTCGCCTGCAGTTAGTGATCGGCTGGCTGCACAGGTTTGCTTCCTTTTTCTCTTGAGACAGGGTTTCCTGCACCCCGTTTATGAGGCTGGGGATCAGACCTGGAGCCTTGTGTATGCTGGGCAAACACTCTACCAACAACGACCACAGCTACAGCTCTGCGTCACAGTTCTGAGTGATTAATTGGAACCATCCAGGAAAAAAATAATGAAATACTTAGATTGTAAATTAATAAGGCAAAGCCACAGAGTTGAGATTAGGAGAAAATGAATTTTAAAATAATATGTCTAAGTAATCTTATCCGTGTTATGGAAAGAGAGAGACAGACAGAGAGAGAGAGATCACTGGCAAGGAAGGGTTGCACCAGAAAGTATAGTAAAATGACAGCTGCAGGTCCTGGGACAGTTACAACCTGATTTCTGTTACAAAAACTGCATAGTGTTTGTGCATAGAAATAATCCGAACTGCTCTTCAGAACACAAAGCCACTTCGGAGTGTCTGAGAGGGGAAAACCCTGCCTTCCCTCGAACATCCAAGATTCCCACTTCTGGACCCTAATTATCCAGGACTCAGGATGAGCAAGCCTCCATCCTCTGCAGGGTGGAGCTCAGACCCTGCCTACTCTGCAGGGTGGAGCTCAGACCCCGCCTATTCCTAGCTCTCATGGCCATCTTTGCTCCTGGGCTGGCGTTGCTCTCCAGAGCCCTCTCAGATGCTCGAAGGACAGAGGTCGACCATCTGGGGACACTCCTGACCTCCTGAGCTGCTCACCTGACGAGTGCACGTTCCTGAGACAGGACAGCGAGGCGTTGAGCCGGGCACACTCTTCCCGGTTGGCTCCATACTTCTTCACCGTCTCGCACACCTGCTCGTCCGTCATCTCTAGGAGGTCCTCCAAGCTCAGCTGGTCAGGCGAGATCTCCTAGTGGAGGGGACAAAGGCAGTCAGCTGGACCTGGAACCCAAACGGGCTTGGCATCTTCATACCGCCCTCTTGCGGCGCTCAGAAGAACTGCACAGGGAAACACCGTGGAGGCTGCGTACTGCCCACTGCGCAAACACTAGGCCGAATTCGGGTTTGAGTCCCGTTTGCCGCTTGGTTAGACAGATCACTTAACCTCTCTAGGCCTCGCTCTTCTCACTTATAAAATGGAGGTGCGGACTGTAGGTGCGGTGCCTACATGAGCAACTGTCCACACTGGCGGCTGCTAACGCCGGTGGAGACAAACCCCGCTCACACTTCCGTGAGTAGACAGCCACGCTGAATTTGGCCAAGGTGGACTCAGAGCAAGCCAACGAAGCACAAATCTGAGTCGTGCTGGTTGGCGGCCAGCCTCGGTTTCCCTTCTGATGCACTCACGGGGTCTAGGAGCCATACGGGGCCCCTTAGGGCCTAAAAAACCGGTGGCAAAAAGCCCGTGGGTGGCTCCAGGCCGAAGCGAGTCTTGATAACTACTGAGCTCCGTGAGGCTGTGTGGTAAGGCTGAGGAATAGCATGCAACAGGGGAAAGGACCTCTCTGAACAAAGGAGCTGGAGACAGAAGCAGGATTTCCGGGTGGCCATGTGATGGCCGGGTGGCCCTCCTCCCACACACACCCTACGAACAGCCCCTTCCCTGAAGAGTGTCCTAAGTCTGCAACATTGCCACCGCGTCCCTCAAGCTTTGATACCTACTCGCCTTCCAGTGTTTCCACATATGCACATAAGAGTCTTCCTGCACGGTCTCTATGGTAGCCAAGGATTTAAACACGAATAGTACATACTACCTAGATAAGGCTTGTGAATCTGTGGGTGGCGAGTCCCCGGCGACAGTGTGGGCTCCGGCTGCCCCCTCGTGGCCACGACTGTGCATTACAGTAACATTCAGATTGAAAACAACCCATAAATTCTGGCTCTCACAAAAAAAAAAAAAAAAAAAAAAGCTCTAATAAAACACGCTGACCAATAGCATCTTGGGAGGGAGGGCTTATGTGGCCTACACTTCCACAGTCCAGGAATGCAAGGCAGGGGCCTGGGGCAGACGTGGAGGAACACTGTCTCCTCCGGCTTGCTCCCTTCCTTACATAGTCCAGGCCCGGCCGGCTAGGGCTGGCCCCGCCCACAGTGGGCCGGCCCTCCTGCTTCACTTAGCCATCAAGACCTGTCTCACGGAGGCGGCCACAGGCTACCCTGATAAAGATGATCATAGATGATCATTCAATTATGACTCTTTTTTTTTTTTTTTTTTTTCTCCAGGCGGCTTTAGGCTGTGCGGAGTTGACAGTTGGTAATAAGTCGGGACAGATGCAGAATCTAAGGCCTTCTCCTTGCTTTGGGACCCAACTGCGCCTTTTAATCCTGTGATTTAAAAGTGGGGAGGGGGTGTGAGTGTGTGTGTATGTGTGTGTGTGAGTGTACTTGTGAGTGTGTGAGCCTGTGTGTGTATGTATGCGGGGGGGGGGGGGTGTATGCATCGTGTGGATGTGTGTATATGTTTGTGGATGTGACCGTGGATGTGTGCGTGGCCATGGGGGGGGTATCTGGAGGTATGTGTGGATAAGTGTGTGCATGTATTGTGAGTGTCTGTGTACATGTGTGTATGTACACATGTCTGTGTGTGTGTTTGTGTTTGTTGGAAAACTGGGCTTAGATTTCATGCACGCCAGGCAAGGACTCTACCGTTGAACTGTATCCTCAGCAAAAGTGACGCTGTCATCACCTGCCGACCAGGATGCTAAAGCTCAAATAAGCTAAACCTGTAGCCTACATCACACATCAGGACAATGGTGGAGGCAGCATTTGAACCCAGGGCACGTCTCCCAGCTGTCTCCCTATCCCTCTCCCTCCTGAGAGCATCCCCTGGTGGTCAAGCGTGAACTGCAGGCAGGGAGCCTTCACCGACCTGGGTGAAGGCCTCAGAATCCCCGGCTGGGAGACTAAAATCTCCAAAGGGTGGAGGGGGAGAGCCTTGGGGACCAAAGGGCTGCCGACTGGCTCGTCACATCAGAAAAGGATTCTCTTCTGTATAATCAGTACCTCTGGCTTTGAAACCAGGGATCTCGAGTCTTTTTAAAAAAATATATTAAAAATAAAAGTTTTAAGACATTGGGCCAAAATAAAAATTTGAAGATCAGATCTTATCAGCCAAACAAGAACTGCCTGCCCATTAGCTGCAATTTGAAGACCACAGTTTTCAGCCCTCCTCTAGAAGACTTGTCTCTGCCTTACAAGCCCCACGAGGGGGCCTCGGCATATGAAGATTTATACGATTCCAAAGCCTTTAGGAAGCGCCCCGAGCTGTGCAACTAAAATGCACCGCGTGTACCATTAGGCGGAGTCTAACCGTCAGCTGGACACAGCCTACAGTCTCAGGGAGGGGTTGTCTCCATCAGGTTGGCCTGTGGGCAGGTCTGGGGGGCGGGGCTGTCCTGGTTATGTTTATTAAGCTTGGAAGCCCCGCCCACTATGGTTGACCCCCCCCCCCCCCCACTCCCTGGGCTTAAGAGAAACTTTGCATAGCACTGCCAAGCACGCGTTCATTCTCTCTGCCCCTGAGGGCAGCCGGGATGACGGGCTGCTTCAATTTCCTGCCTCCCTAACTGGGCTGTCGCCTGGAATTTTGAGCCAAACAACCCCACCCCTTCCAAATTTGCTTTGCTTACAGGAAGTGAACTCACCGCCTCAGGCATTCGGGCAGTCCTGGGAGTGAAACTAGGGGTGCAGAAATTCATAGTGCTGGGGACGTGTGTGTGTGTGTGTGTGTGTGTGTGTGTGTGTGTGTGTGTGTGTGTGTGTGTGCGCGCGCGCGCTGGTGCATTACACAGGCTGGTGGGTAAGCCTCAAGGATCCAACTATCTCTCCCCCTCCCAGCTCTGCCATTACAGGTGTAGCCTTCACACCCGCCTTCTGTATGTGGGTTCTAAGGACCAAACTGTCCATTCTCCACATGGAAAGATTGACATCCTGAGTCCCTGCGATCCAATACGGTGGCACTGGCCACGGTAATTTACATTAAATACGATTCAAAATGCAGATCCCTGATCCCATGCATGAATCGAAATCCGAGTGCTCTGCGAGCTCGGGAGCCATGTGCGCCCATGGCTGCTCTATCAGACAGCACAGACACGTGGCAAAAAGCTGGTGGGCAGCACGGGTCCCTCAACAGCCCCTCTCATATACACCTGAGATCTTGTAGCCTTCACCCAGCACACACTGAAGGCCTACTGTGTGCCAGAGTCTATGCTGGGTATAGCCCAAACCCTGCCAGCTAGCGAGCGGGGAAAGAAGGTGGCCAGTGAGGGTCAAGGGGTTCAGGGCTGCCTCGGTCACCTCCAGGACTTCCTTGCGCACATCCACGATCCGGAACCAGTGGCGGAGCTGGGGGAAGCCGTCCAGTTCGGCATTGCGCTCCTGCGGGGCCACCTTCTTCTTGCAGGAGAGCTGGCGGCTGAAGTACTTGACCAGCTTGCTCTGCGGAGACAGACAGCACAGGGACACATCTCAGAGGCGCTGCCACAGGCTCCGGGGCGAAAAGCCCTGACAGCACCCACTAAGCCCGGCCAGTTCCATGCCGTGAAGACGGCTTCCACCACAGCGAGGTTCTTCTGTCTGAACCTTGGTCTGCAGTGGACCGAGGCTCAGAGGTGGGAAATGACGCCCAGAAGGGAGTGCTGTGGTTCTCAAGAGTCCAGCCCTTGGAAGTGAGTGGTGAAGAAGTTCACACACACACACACACACACACACACACACACACACACACACACAC